ACTTTGTCAATATTGAATTATGTCGACGTACAGCTTCATAGCACCAATCCTTGAGGACCTCAAGCTCTCCTTGAATCATAGCCTGAAAAAAAAAACAGAAAGAAGAATGAGTTTAAAGTGGCACACAAGTGCACATATCACTTTGCTACAGTTAAACGTGTTGATGACGCACCTCCAGGACGTTGGGAATGATGTCCTTCTCACATTGTTTAAGAAACGAGTCTTTATCAAAGTTGGGGTCTACCTTCAAGATCTCGGTGAGAACTTCAGACATCTCGGTCTTGGAGAACAAGCCACCTATTAAGAAACAAAGATCAACAATACCTTGTTTAATTTTAGACATTTATAGATGTTGGGCATTAACTTCCAGGCCACTATATATAATATTAATCTCTCGTTCTGAGATGATACACTATGGGACAGAAGCAACCCCTTCTTTATTGGGACCACGCGTCCTACACTGAAACTAAGAGGCAGAAGAGCTCTCACCCCTTCACTGAGACTAATAGGCACAAAGGCCACACCACTCTTTTAGGACTGACCATTGCAGAAGATACGCCTCCTTCATTTGGACTTACAGCCACAGAGGCCATGCCTCCATTGCTGGGACTGACAGGCACAGAGGACACACCTCCTTCACTGAGACTGACAGGCACAGAGGACACACCTCCTTCACTGAGACTGACAGGCACAGAGGCACCACACCTCTTTCATTAGGACTGATCGGCAAAGACACCACACCTTCACAAAAGCCATGCCTGCTCTACTAGGACTGCCAGCCCATAGGACACACCTCCTGTTGACTGACAGGCACAGAAGCCACACCTCCTTTATTGTGAGTGACTGGCACAGTGGACAAGCATTTTTCATTGGTGCTCATGGGCACAGAGTCCACACCTCCTTTGCTGAGACTGATAACCACAGAGGCCACTCCCCTTTCACTGAGACTGACAGGCACAGAAGCCACAGCTCCTTCACTGAGACTGACAGGCACAGAAGCCACAGCTCCTTCACTGAGACTGACAGGCACAGAAGCCACAGCTCCTTCACTGGGACTGGCAGGAAACAGGGCCACGCCTAATTCACAGAGACTTAAGGACACAGGCACATGATAGGAACACAAGCCACACCTCCTTTATTGTGAGTTAGTGGCACAATGGACATGCATCTTTCATTGGTACTCATGGGCACAG